GATATCTAACGGAATAATTCCAAAAAACGGGAGTAAAGTTAATTACGATCGGCACGAGTGCGTCGGTTTCACCCTTTTTAATAGGCGCTTTATTGAACCAAACAAGTACTAACGATAAAACGAATAAAATCCCGAATTTCCCTAATTTTACAAACACCCCTAATACATCCAGGTATAACTCATAATGTTGCCCATCACTTATATTCAGCAAAGGGAAGTTGTAACTTATAACGCACCTGTCAGATTACATTCAAATAAATCTGAATGAACAACTTTTGACGTGCGCCCCATCGCAGTATTAATGAGAAAACTTATACTAATAAATAACAAAGTTTTTAAATTAATTTGGATTTTTAACTCCAACCCCTCGATGTATCTCGAGAAAGTTTCATTCGAGACAGATCTCATATAGTTCTCATCCCGTTAGCAACTATTTAGTTTCCGAAACTTCCGGCTCGTTTTCTCGGTTAAGTTTTATATCCGATTCTTGCGATTATTTTGCGTATTGTATCAACAGCAACAATGAATTTCATGAACTAAATATTGGTGGGAATCGGGGATTGGAAAGGGCGATGGGAGAGCCAGAATCAGTCAATTAAAAACCATTGTCGTCCTAATGATATCTCGAGAAATTTTCATTCGAGACAGATCTCATATAGTTCTCATCCCGTTAGCAACTATTTAGTTTCCGAAACTTCCGGCTCGTTTTCTCGGTTAAGTTTTATATCCGATTCTTGCGATTATTTTGCATATTTTATCAACAGCAACAATGAATTTCATGGACTAAATATTGGTGGGAATCGGGGATTGGAAAGGGCGATGGGAGAGCCAGAATCAGTCAATTAAAAACCATTGTCGTCCTAATGATATGGTCGGAACTATTGTGAATTTGCGGTTCCGAATCGCCGATCACCGGACCCGTGTTGTAGCTGACGCTGCACGTCAGGATCATCGATTTCGTTATATCCAGTCCACATCCGAATTTTCCAGTTATTCCGGCGACGCCCGCGGGGAATCCGGCTCCTTTCCAGCCACCTCCAACGCACCAATCGCTTGAATTAATGATGAAAATCGGCGAAAAAATTAACCGGGTTTTGTTAACTTTCTCCTTACTAAATCGCGGAAATTCCCGCCTCCCACAATGCGTTGCAAAAGTAATTCCAATTTTCTGCAGTTGTTTGATTTTCTTGTCACGCTCTTCCCGACGCTGTGAACACAAAACGAAAAGAAAAATCACCACACTCTATCCATTAAAAGGTGACAAGCAAACAAATAAATCATATTTAGTCGATGCCGGTTCGGAAAAGGGAGCTCTCTTCGTCGGGATTAAAAGGTTCTTGATGCAACGATATATCTAATGGATTTTTTCTGGCCGAGGCTCGAATGAGAGATTGTACTTTATATCACGCCGCTTTTATATAATTTATTAGTTGTTTCTTTACAATGCTCCGGCAATCGATGGGAAGCATCGGAAGTGCGTTTAAGTACACCCTTCGAAATAGAATTTCCCAATCGCACTTCAGAAACTGAATTTTCACAACGACGAAAATCGTTCTCCAGTTGGTATACCTTGTACTCCCTGTGGGGTGGCGCAATTTCACACATTCAATACCGCTCGATTCGATTTAGGTATTTATCAAGGTTGAAAGAAGAAAAAGTCATTTTCCTTTTCGGCGTCGATTTTCTCACGTTTAGCGGCAATTCCAGCCGCCTGGCGTGAATCCCCTCCGCATAAAGCGAAACAATCTCGCAATTGCCCTTCGCATAGCATCGAAATTATCTAGCCGGGCACAAAGCGGAATGCGGAAGAAACCTGTCGAATCTCCGAGAAATCCCTCATCGGACCGGGAAGCCCGTCCTTTGTGCCATCCAGGCTCAATTAATTCGTCTTTATTCAGAGCGAAGCGTTCCCACAGGGACAATAAGATAGGAACAGTCCTCGGCGCTCTGCGGAATCATCGCCTCCTCCTCGCGCTCTCTTCACCCGTGCTTTAGCCATTTATAACGGCCATATTGTGTATATCATTTACCCTAAGTACCCGAATTAACTGCCGCATGAAGTTTACATTTGAGTGCCATATGATATAACTAGTAGGTAGTTTATATGTAGCAAACATTTTAGTGAATAAAAGTAATGTTTGAATCGAATTTTCGGCGCAAAATAAATTAATAAACATGAGGAGAGAGCGACCGCGCGGATAAAAATTGAAACTTCATTACCCGTCTAAATGAGTAAAAAAACACAATACTCGAGGGTTATTCCGAGCTTTGAAGGAATTTTCTTTTAATTAATTATTTTTTATTCAATGTTTTTCTCTTTCTTTTCTTTTTGTTTCGGTTAATTCGGCGGCGGAAAGGGAGCTTGTTTCGAGAATTAAGTTATAACGAATTTCGAAGCCGAGATTCCAAACTTGATAAAATATTATAAAGTTAATTTAGAATTTATACAAATCTTTAAATTATACAAGAAACTAATTTACTCCCGGCGAAATTAAAGGAAAACTTCATAATAAAATCACAAATAGTTGCAGTTTAAATTCTAACACGCTCAATGAAATACGGAAAAAAGCACTAGGAATATTTCAACTTCCATCTCCATCCATTAGGAAGACACATAAACACAGAAAAAGGACGTTAGTTGGAAATATCATCTAATTTTTCACAAAGAAATTCCCTAAACAAAGGCGATATGAATAATGAACACCTCGCATTTTAAATAAAACCGAATTTTTCTCGGGCGCGATGCAAATCATTTTCTTAAATAAAATTTTCATAACTCACCGGAGTGACTCGATAGTTTTTCCTCGACGGGAGCACTCCTTTTCGCGCGCTCGCTCCTCTTCCCAGCGCTTTATTTTTATTTATTTAACTTAATATGCGAACGGAGTCGAAAATGGACAAAAATTATTCGCCGAACCCCGGAATTCGAAATAAATGTAGCGCCTACTTTGCATATGGGGATTTAAAAGGATTAAAAGGAGCGGGATTTAGCACGTGCCCGGGGGGAATTTAGAAGCATTGTAGCTGTAGCTGTAGCTGTTACTTTTCTTATTTTCTACTTCTCCAGCAGATGGAGTTATTATAAAAACACAACGCGTTTATAGTTCATTCGCGTGAACGTTTGCGCATCGACTATAAAAATATGTTAGAATTTCTATCGTTGGTCGGGGAAGGAATAGTGAATGAATGTTTGGAATGCGCGTCTGTTACGTGGGCTCCTTGTTCTTCTATACAAAATAAGATTTATTAATGGGCGACATTTCATTTGAGGACTCGCAAATGGAGTACATAAAACAAGCCCAATGATATACTAAGGGGATGTAGCGTAATTTATGAACCGCCATTGTTAAATATACTTGTGGAATTCCGGACGAATTCCGAATGCATGCGGAAGGAGATTTTTTTTGCTGTAATGGGTGCAAGTGTGAAGAATCCCAAGTAAGTTTATACAGAGTCTTTATTGTTTGCTGCAAAAAAACGTTAGGTAAAATGGAAACGGTACGAAATTAGATTTTCTTTGTTTCGAAGCGAACCCGGCCTGATCGAAAACAATGTGGGGAAAGCGACAGTTTAGGGGCAGTTGCGAACCAGAAATATCAATTTGAAAAATGAGATCTCGCCCCATATCTAGACCGCTTTTCAATAAAAAAAAGGACGTCGGGTCCGGACCCTGAAAGGAAATATATTCTTTAGGAAGCGAAAGTTCGATCTTTACTCGTGTCTTTTTCGGTTTATTAGATGTTCCGGATGAAAATCGGGACTGCAGAGCACGCATGGGATTCATTATTATCGACTTTATTGGTTTTACATTGTTCCTTGATCCTGATTGAGCGACTAGTTTTCGCACGAAACTTAGTCGATTGTTAGTCAATTTATTTAGTTAGCGATTTTTACAACCCCTAGATAACATAAAGCACCTTCAAATGCCCGGATTTACGCTTTACGGACCATAAAAGTTCGTTTATTTTGTTTAAAAACTTCATTAAATGTTAACTTGATGGTAATGGTGCGGTTTAATTTTACGATCCATTGGAAAACGCCGCTTTCATTTTTACTGTTCTTTTTACATCGTTTAATACTTATAGCTATATTAATAAAAAAAATCTAAGATATTACAATTGTTTACAGGGTGTTTCACAACTTATCCGACAAATTTTAACCACATATGCACTGTTAAAAGTCTTACAGAAATCGAGATAATAAAATAATAGTTTAACAGTTCAATTACTCATACAAGATGTTCAAAATTGTTCCCATTTACTGCAATACAAGCTTGGGTTCTTGTTTTTTGTTTTAACCATTGTTTTGGTGCAACATTTGCTACAGTAAAGTATTAAGGCAAAATTATGAACGCAAAATGCAGTATTTATTTTTCAATTTTTTATTGAAACTCGGGTTTATAATTTTATTTCTGTAGGACTTTTATTACATTTTTTTAGAGATTTCTCAAAGAGAGAGAAGTTGATTTCTCAAAAAAAAAATGTAACAAAAGTCCTACAGAAATAAAATTATAAACCCGAGTTTCAATAAAAAATTGAAAAATAAATACTGCATTTTGCGTTCATAATTTTGCCTTAATACTTTACTGTAGCAAATGTTGCACCAAAACAATGGTTAAAACAAAAAAAACAAGCACCCAAGCTTGCATTGCAGTAAATGGGAACAATTTTGAACATCTTGTATAAGTAATTGAACTGTTAAACTATTATTTTATTATCTCGATTTCTGTAAGACTTTTATTACATTTTTTTTTGGGAAATTAACTTCTCTCGTAACAGTGCATATGTGGTTAAAATTTGTCGGATAAGTTGTGAAACACCCTGTATATAGGCATCTACACAGTTCGAATTTATTATCCTCGGAGCTTCATTCGAATATAGCCGGCGTATTTATTAGCGTCTATATTTCAAGATATACGAAGCCAATAAAACGCGAGTGTGTTTGTGTGTATAGCCATAACATAGCTCGCGATTTGTTACAGCAACAGTGTATCGTTCGGTCGTTAGTTCACTCTAGAATTTCAAATTTATTCAAAGAGTTGCCGAGGCGGGTCCCTCTCTCCACTCCCCGTGTATACGCCCGCAGAAGATGAATAATAGTTTTCGTTACAGTTCCGTCGTAAAAATTGAAAAGATGAGCAGGAAAAATAATAAATGGCTTCGTTGCAGGAATTCTACGGCTCGCATTTGCATAAGGGCTATCTCCTTTGTGGGACGCTTACTTGGACAATTTGTTTCGCATTGTTTTCGATGCGGAGAAGACGCTTCTCGATATCGCTTAGAATAAAACCAATTTCGATATCCATTACAGTATCAGTAAATAAATCGCTAGATTGGATGATGTTAGATGCGATCCGGCATCGCCGCATAACTATTAGGTCCTTTCGAACTGTTGTATATGAATGATCCGCTCTTTTTTGTGGAACATAATCGTATTGACCGGCGCCTTAGCGGTTATAGGCAAATCGAATTATCTCTTCATTGGTGCGATTCGTTTCAGGATGAACGGCCGTTCGGTCCTGCACCGGATGTGACCCGTCGAATGGGCTCTTCCACCCCTCTGGGCAAAGCGGAACCGCCCGGATCGCCGCCCTATTACCGGTCAACCTCCGCCACCAGTTCGAGCTCCAATTCCGCCTCGTCCAGTAAGTATATAAAGTATTTTTTTAATCGAATAGTGCAGTTGATTCGTTGGCGAATAGACCTATTCAGTTTAACCTGTGCTGCGCGCGCATACTGTGGGCAATTAACTTGACATCTAAACGAACAAACGAACGCACCTCAGGTACAATACGGTTCTGACAACTAGACAACGATAACTTAAGACATACTTCAGACGTCATTTGTCATTATCCAATAATCCGTCGGATTTAATTTGTAATGGACGCGATGACTCGATACAAATTTGTTTTTACCGCCCAGAAAGGGGATTAGGGTTAATATTTACATACAGGTCAAGTCTAAGAAAGAGTAAGAGGGTTAGTACCAAGTTTCCGAAAATGCTTTTTGATCGGTTTGCTATAATATATATTTCAAAGAAATAATCCCATTGACCTATATAAAAAATTATAACTTTTATAAATAAATATACTAAATAATACAAAGAAATACTGTTAAAAAATAATACACACTGAACATAAACAAACATCAAACGGAAACAAGAAACAAAATAGGGTTATGATTGAAGATGGTCTCTTCTTTTTTATATTTAAAACAGTTTTCATCTAAGAATCATTCAATGGGTCTGTCAATCAGCAATGAAATAGGCCAAATATCTCATCTCTCTTGCACTTATACTTGCGCAGATTTTAAATGGTTCCACAGATTGCGCGTGAAACATATTTGCTTCTTTTATTCTCTTATGTTGATCAAATAACTCCAACACTCTCTTTCGTAAACTGAATAGGTCTACCGATCAAATTCCAGCTGGAAATCCGGATTGTTTAGCGTCGAATCGACGGCGTTGTTGTTGGAATTCGAATTTGTATTTGAGCAGTATTCGCGGATTTTGGGTTTGGGGCTCGGGTTAGAGCGGGTCAGACGGCTACTGGTAACTCGGTCGGAAGTCCTCGGGGCGTCGAATAATTGCCTCCCTCGTTGTCATTAAAGTTGTAAGGTTCATTAGACGTCCAAATAACACCCTTCGCAGACCCGACCCGACGCACCCGTTTCTGGTTTGTAGTCCGGCTAATTAGGGAGATATGGTAAATCGCCGGATTTCGACCGAGATTGGTTAGCCGAAAAAATGGAATTAATCGCATTAATCGGACCTTACTGTAATGAATGCAAAGCCAGTTACTTGTACCTACCTGTTGATGCTAAATGATCTCCACACGGATGCTTTCTGAACGTAAATTACACTCTAATTTTTACATATTAATCCAGATTAACCGGCGTACGGGATATTTAATGGCGCTTGTCAGTAGCAAGGCCATAAATCAAACATTTCCATCGGGTGGAAAGTGAAAAAAAGCGATGCATCGGGGAGTTTTGTTTCGCTACGTGGAGTAGCTACTCAGCAATAACACGTTGATTGATTTGTTTACCGGCAGACACGCGTGGAAATCCGATGACTCGTTTTTTTTTTTGTCAATAGAGAACTTACCTCTTTCCTTTCACGCGTCGACTGCGAATCGATAATTCCGGTCCGCGAAAACGTTCAATATCAACTTCCATTATTACGCTCTTCGTCGGTATCGCTTTCGTGTGTTATTTTTTAATTTTACGCCTGCCCGTTTTCGCGACGTTTTTAAATGGGTAATGAAACATCCCCTTGATGAGTTGCTGAAGTAAAGCTATTAATATTTACGGGGATATCAACGCGATTAAATATATAGGTCGGATGTGGGTATAACGCGACTGTTATTTATACATAAGTGCGAAGGATTTTAGCGAGTTGGAAAAACATGAAATCGCCTCTCTTGATGGAAGTCCCAAAAATGAAAACGGACCCTTCGGAGGATTGGGACAGGAAGCATATAGGGAGACTTTTATTCCCATTGAAAATGGAAATGTCCGAGGCGTAGTAGGCGCGGTATACACGAAATTATTTAATACTATGATATAAAAGCATCCACTCTAAATGTTTTAATTTTCGTAGCGTAAATAATATTCATAAGTAAGTGAGTGTAATTATGTACGAGAGCATTCATGGTATCTCGCCTACTAAACGAGAAATTGTGAAGGGTAGGGACAGCGGCAGAATATCACATCGCAGGATTGATAAGGGATTTCGGAGTGAATGGAACGGACGAAGGGCCCTTTTACATAATAACAACCCGTTGATATAATCGCTACCTGTCAGTGATACAAAACTTTAATTCACTCCATACCCCAATTCATGACGGCATCTCCAATTTTCCAATTTCCAATCATTTTATTGCACTCGCCCCGATCAATTAATCTGTTGTACTACATCGCATCTAATCTCCCAAATACCCCCAATTAGGCCGCTCCCGTGCCACCGTCGCCTGATCAATTTTTTATTACATAATAAAAGCAGGGACATTTGAGTCAGGTTGTAACGGTTTTATTATGTTTTAGCATAAGCTGTTAAGTTGATTAAACAACGGGCAACGAAAAGTGCCACTAAAATCTGAATGATGGTCTCGTCCATCAAATCGTCTAATTAGACTCCTAGACGTTAAACTCGAAGGAATCGGCCGATAAAATTTCTATCTAGGTAGCGCGTTTTGCGGAATTATTTTCGCCCTTCTTCGCGAGATTTTCCTATAAAAACGCCGCTTTTATACAGTGTGTGTCACGACTAGGGCCCATTAGAAGTATCTGGAAAAGTAGTGGTAATTAAAATTTGAAAATTTGTGTACAAGTATTAGTCGATGCGCTCTATTCAATGAAAATATTTTCAACTTTTCTTTACTTCCGGTTATACCGAAAGTGGACAGCAAATTTGTTATTTTAAATGGGTCACCCCATATATTAATATATTTTCGAAATGTACGCAAAATTTTAGAGTGCTTTTGTCTAAAAAACTTTTTTCAAAAATGCATACTTTTTGAGTTACTAATTTTTTTTTGAAAAATTTGACCGATGCAGACCCTTATAAATTATTTTTTTACGGGGATCCCTTTAAAGATATGGATACGGTTTCTGTAGGGTGGCCACTAGCAAGGTCAAAGGTATTTGAATCTGTGTTAAAAACTTTTTATTTTATACAGGGTATATACAAAACATGTGAAAAGTTGAACTTCAAAAATACCAAATTATTTCATTTTTTTAAATGGAACCACCCATTTTTTTCTATTTTATTGAAATCAACGATCAAAAATAAGGAAAGTTCATGTTTACTTCCCTATACCTAAACCTAATAGGTTTGATGATATTAAAAATTTTACTTAAATCTTACTTTTCTGCCTTATTCTTAAATAACTCTGTTTTTACAAGTTGGCCATGTAATATCTCACAAGTACCAAAATTAATAATCAATTAATTACAAACAATTTACACACTGTATACCAAGGCTCCAATTCGCTAGGTTCGATTATTTTATTTGACTGCAGTTATTCACCTACCAATAGCGATTATTATTGAGTGAAAAACGCGTCCTTAAATCGAGTTATTTCGACAACTAAATCGTCCTGAGAATCAATAAAAAAATTACCCTTCTCTTAACGCTTAAATACTCGCCATCGCGACTCTATAAGGAGTCTATACAGCTGCATTTCTGTTATCCGGCTAAATTATCCGGCCGATCGTTAGTCAGCACACATCGTCATTAATTTCGGGCGATTCGAATATCAACAGAATCATCGCAAACGAGGGGCCCGGAACCCGGAGTTAGCCCGGCTACTTTTCGTTTCGTCCTGCTAACGCCGCTTTAATTAATTGCTGACTTCACGTATCATTGTCGGCTCGGCTAATTAATTGCGAAAGCGGGTCGTGTTGTACGTTATATAGAGTCGACGGGCAATTTAAAATTTTCATTATCACCCCGGCCTGTCCTTTGCTCGCTCGATGAAAACTCGCGCTAATCCCGCGATGACGCCGGGACTGCTGCATGATGTCGAACGAACTATACCTGCGACTTTACAGTAAAAGTTGTGTCGTTAACGAGCTACAGTATCGGCAAATTACTGTGTTGTGTAACTTACCTGAGTTGAGGGATACATAGGTTGTAACTTAAGGAGGATCATGGAGAGTGAGCTTTTTTGAGAGGGGTCCTTTGTGCATTCGAAGAGCTTCTCGCGGCGAAGGTGCATTGAAAGTTGTTTTGAAATTGATACTCGCGTACGCGAAATGCAGCAGATGCTTTCGTAGCGCGCATTGTAACCTTTGACAACGTAACTTTCCTTCCTGGATGCGGAATTGCGGCGCTGGAGATGGATCTTTCGATGCGGGAATGCGCCTGCATTACAAAGAGTTTTGTGTGGGTAATTATTAACTTATGCCCGGTGAAGTAAATTACGTCGGTGAAAGGAATGATGAAGGTACAAAAAAAAGCATCGGTTTCTATTCAGATGTTCGGAAAAATCACTCAGCGTGACGGACAATTTGCCCGGTGGGAGGTGGAAAAATTGGAATAACTGGAGTTTCTTTAAAGCTTCGTAAACAACGAAGAATATATTTTTCTGGCCTATATTTTCTTAAACAACCTCAATTTGCCTCTATTATATTCCACACGTGCATAACATGAAATTGGTTTTATACAGAGTGATTCACCCTAACTTCGTATAAAAGTTGGAACGACGATTTACTTAAATTAATATTTACTATCCAACAGACATTTTTCCAAAAATAAAAGAGTTGTGTAAATTGTATACGAAGAATATTTAATTTTAATATCGAAAAAATCTATCTGCTCGGTCGGAGCTTTTAGCATCAATTTTTTCATCGGCTGAAGAAGGAGGAAAAGCGTTTAGTAATATTAAAGCACTTTTAATTACTGAAAAATTAATACAGGAAATTGCAGCGCTCGGCGAATTTTCGTTTTACGGCCCTCACATCCGAAGGAAGCATTAAATACAATTAGATGTTCTAATTAGTAGATTAATAGTCAGAGTGCTCGATTTTACGGCGCGATATAAAACGATTCCTTCGGCCCGGATTTTCGGTCGGTCTCCGGGCGATGATAAAAATCCCGTGTTTACTCTCCAGGATAATTTTTTGCGAGCACTAAAAACTTTAC